AACGTCAGCTCAACTCATATCATTGTGGGAAAATTCTACTACCAGTCCTTCATCACCTTAGATGAAATATTGTGAATACATCTCATATTCCAATTCTTAGTTTTCATGTTTATTAGTTTATACCATCTTTCATAATAGAGCAATCTAAAGATCTCAATAAAGATCGCTAGGACAAACGCCGAGAGCATCAAAAATTATCTTCCCTCGACGCTTTAACAGACAAATGTCTAAAGGACATATAAATAAAGTCATTTTGTGCATTGCTTTAGGGATTCACTACCACTCCAATTGCAAGGATTCCAAATGAGTATTTGTGGGTCAGTAATCACAATTATCTGATCAACGATCTCCTTTTTTGTACATTTTTTGTTTGACTTTGTTTTCGCAAAGTAGTCGTATTGCCAGGGAGACACATGGGAATGCATCTTGTCCCGAATTCATGGTATGCAAGATGAGTTCTGTAGCCAAATCATGGACATGGCACATTTCCAGACTTCCCACCTGCATCGTATTCGGCATCTTCAGTCAGACAAGTGAAATAGATCTCTTTCTCTTTGATACGCTGTAGTGTGGTGCCAATAACTGACGATGCCTACAAAACTTCTGAGAGAGTGGCAAGTTTGACTCTGGAAATTATTGTGCATACTATGGACTCTAGAAAAGGTGTGTTCTTCTAGGTCTCTCTAACAAGCCAAATAAGTGTGAAAAGGCCAAAAAACTTATAAAAACACAACTAATTAATCTACATGCTCGCCAAAACCAGATGAAAACACCTCCTTTCTTCAAACTTTCTACCAACCTGACTGGGATGTGGATTATTTCTTCTCATGCCTGAAGCCGAGGCTGACCGTATCGGCGACCTCGGCCTGACCAATTCCTTTGGCCAAGCACAAAAGTGTTCCGCATAAGTGGTGCCGGTGCCTCGGGATCCCGGCTGTCCCTGGCCCCACCTGGTTGCCCAGCATCTACCAGAACAGCGCATTCGACAGATGTCTTCGTCCTCTCGCCTCGGGTCAGGCGAAAATTCGTCAAATCCGTCTGTTGCCTCAATGGTTTTCGGGCGACCAGAGCAGATGGACGACTGATGAGACCTTTCCTGCCCATTCTCAGGAGTGTGATTGTAGTACCAATGCTTTGAGCCTTTCGGCATCGCTGACCACGCCCTCGGCCTGCTCGTCCGCAGGCAACTGTGACAGTTGTCAGGCGACTGTTGACGCCAGTTACGGCTGATCTTCCCAATTGCCGAAGACTCGTCTTGATCCTTCTCCCCATCCACTTCTTCGTCGTCCGACTCGTCTCTGTCCTGCTCACTCTTCTCTTCGAGAGGCAGATATCTTTGGCCAGATTCACTTGGATTCCCTCGGCCGTAGCCGTGACTACCAAGAAGTGTCCGCTCTTCAAGTGTGAAGGCTGACACAGGGCTTGGATACAGCGAGATGAGATGAGAAAGAAGAGAGTGTAGACAAGAGGTACTTTTGACAGGATGTTGACGATGACATGAATACACGATTTCAACTTAAAAGTACAGACAAGGGCAGACTAACGAAAGGTTTTTATAAACTCTTTTAGGACAATAGTTGCCAGCTGACCACAAGACACTAGACATTGTCTCTGCAACGGATTGGTCAAACTAGTAGTTAAGGTATCAAAATGTATTTTCATACAACTTATAGGAAAAGACATAAAGCCAGATCAATAAGGATAAAATAAAATAAAATATTTTTCGTATAGAAGTCGAGTTTACTGAATTTACTTCTATACCCAAAATAAGCATTTTAGTTGATTGTTAAAGCAAAAATGCGTTTGCCTCGTCGACAATCCTTCCTTAAAATTCACAATTGCCCTGTGACCCAAGCTCACTCGTAGCAATGTGGCCGAGGGGTTAGAATGTCAAGCTCACATGCTGCACTGTCACGGTTCGACTCCCGCTGGGTTTGTTGATAGGACCGAGGCAAAGTCAAACTGATGAAAACAACTTTTGGGAAAGCAGGACTATGTGATTCTTAATCGAAACATTGTGGGAAAATTCTACTGCCAATCGTTCATCACCTTAAACAAAATAGGCTGGATAGCTATCGTATAAATTAAAATAATAAACAAAAATATCCAACCTCTTAAATAATTGTTTAATTTATATATGAAGACAAGGATGAAAGGACTAGGAAAAACAAAAAAAACAATCATGACAAGAAGGGTTTCGAGGAATTTATGGTATCCTAATTGTTGAGTTTACTTCCATTTCGAGTGAAAGTGTTTGGTGAAGAGATTTGAAGATGAATACCACCAGAAGACGACAGCGGTTTACTCTTGACCAGCTGTCGATTGGCTGTTTCCGTGGTAATCTATTTTGGTCCTTCGTATGTCCGACAGCATCAGAGCATGGTATCATCCTTACAACCAGATTCAAGTTAACGAGTCACGAAAACTCACCGGCTCATCCCTAAACTGCTGTATGTATACTTTATTGCTGAGGTCTTTGATGAGGTATAAAGTGATTTGGTTAGGTCCAATCATATGTCAACTTTGAAGCATGTGACTGTGTCTGTCTCTTTATGTGTATGGGCCTGTATGTGTTCGCATATGTACAAAACCAGCAATGAGGGCTCAAAATAATTAGGACAGCAAAAGTAACCTCTGTTCTCATTCATCAAGGTTTGATGACCACCATCATCTCCTCTTCAAATATAGTTTAACCCTCACTCCGATTGCACAATGTCGGACACACTTCTGATTGTGTTGATGAGTCTTTTGTATTCATGTAAGAGAGAAAGAGTGGGTTCAAAGTACAGAGAAGTGCCCATAAGTAAATCCAAGACAAGAAAAGACTAGTTACATCGCCTCCATTTTGCAGGATGCTCGACA